CTCCGACTCCCTTCTTCTGGCAGTGGCGAGGATCAGATCCCGATCTCTAAAATTGAGGAAGCGGACCAAAAATGGCCGAGGAGGCGAACCAGGAGGTCTGCGACTCGCGGGCACCCGGTGGGCGCGCTCCACTATGTAGGCCGCAGAGACCGATTGGAGATCCAAGAGTTCCTTAAAGAACGCCTCAGCAAAGGCGTTAGTATCCGGGCCTTCCACCCCCTCCGGGAGCCCCACTACCCGCACATTATTGCGGCGTAAGCGATTCTCAGCATCCTCTGAGCGTGCTGTTAACTGCTCCACTGAGCGCTGTAAGCTCCTGAGGGCCTGATCGTGTGCCCCTGAAGTATCCTCCAATGTTCCCACTCGTGCCTCCACTGTTGTTATTCGACCCCTAATTTTATCCATATCTTGACGGATTAGGCCGCATTCTGTGGCCAGCGTATCCATCCTGGCTATTAGGGTCGTTTTACTGGCCTCAATCGCCGCCAGGATGGCGTCCGTGGCATCTGGAGGGTCTTTGCCCTGAGAAGGATGCAGGCTGGCAGCGTTATGTGCTCTCACCTCCGGCTCCATGTCTCCCCACTGAGCGGTCTGCGTGCTAGTGGTAGTGAGAGAGGGAGAGCGTGCAGCCAAGATGGCGCCGGCACGCGTGACAGGAGCAGGGCCTGAAGTCACACCGCTCGCTCGGGGCCGGGCCGATCGCCGTCGGGTTCGCATGGACGGAACACCAGTCGTCACCGGAACACCCGCCAGGAGAAGGTAAGTGTAAAAACACGATTAGGTCAGCTGGGAAGCAGGATGGCTAGACGGATGATCGGAGCTGCTGCAATGGACGTCCGTTCAGCCTCACATCCTGGCCACGCCCCCGCATACTAAGTTTCATGGTATTTCTCCCCCCACTGTCTACACTACATTCTCTGGCAACTCTTCCCCCAACATGCATACTTTCTTACTACATTCTAGAGGATGCATACTTCATTCTCTGGCAGCTTTACTCACCATTCAGACTACATTCTCTGGTAATTCTCCATCATCCACACTACATTTTCTGGTAGCACTTTTCCCAACCTGCACACTATTTTCTCTGGTAACTCTCCCCCAACATGCTTTCAGCTTTCTCTGGTATCTTTCTCCATCATCCATCCATTGTTCACTGGCAGGTATTTCTCGGTATGCACGCAAGGGTCTCTGGTAGCTCAAACTAGAAAAAAGTGGTACATGCATGAATCTATAACCAGCCTTTATAGCTGGGAGCACATTGGGAAGGTTAGGACCACACTTTGCAGAGGTGCCTTGGCGCGGCAGTATGGCTTCTACATATTTTTGGCCAAAAGTTTGTGCAACTAAAGCCTCCTGATTTTAACGCATACTGTTGACAGGGCTACTTGTTTGGTTGCAGGCTGGCTGGCAGGTTGAGGCTGGGGAATTTTTGTGTTTTTGTATCTCTGGTAGCTCACCTCCATCCACTCTGCATTGTTTGGTAGCTCTCTCATGACCATCCATTTTACTTTTCCGGGTAGCTCTCCCCTCAATGTGTACTCTGGGCCATGTCACAAGATCGGCTGCAAAAACAATTCTTTTGTCAGGAAAACCATTCTCGTATATGTGTTTGATCTGTGCATTTAGTAGAGTTTCTGGAGTGGTAAATCGAGTGAACTTTATGACTTGAACACTGTTAACAGTTTTTTATTGACTAAATCAGCAGTTCACTGAAGGACTTTACTTCTTGTTTTAGAGTTCCACATAGCAATTGCTTTAACATTTGCTGCAGTCTTTAGTTTTGTGTAATCAGCCATTTGAGGCCATTTTAGTTCACGAAGCAAACTGTTTTATAAAAGTAGTTAATCAGTGGTGTGTAGCAAGATCTTTTCCTCTACATAATGACATTATATAAGGCATCCTAAGTTACAGTAACCCCAAGAATCTTTATCAAGTGTATCTTTAAAAAATATTAATATTTTATTCATTATATTATTTTAAGTAGAATGTTGCATAGCTTTTTTAAAGTCTTGTTTGTACACATATCTTTTGTGTTTTGCTTAGGGCAGTCACATTCACTTTATGACCAATAGACACTTGATAATTACACTTTTATATAAGCTTGTTGGATATCCAAAACATCCATGCTCCAGCTGCAATTCATGGAATAAACTCTACTTGATGGAGCTGGGGACTTATTCATATGTTTGGTGCTTACAGTCTGTATTTATATTCAGGTTACCATGCCCCATTGGATCTATACCCAGAGTTCCATCGCATTGCTAAGGACCCAGCTATCCACACTGTTCCAGAGGGCAAAAATGTGAATGTGTGCATTGGAAAGGAATGGTACCGGTTCCCCAGCAACTTCCTCCTTCCAGAAAAGTAAGTGTTAGAGCATTAACAGGTATTCTGCTAGCAAAAGATCATTTTTTTAGCCTTGCATGTGAACTGAAACATGACTTCCAGATAAGGACAACCCTCAGATTGTGTTTTTCCTCTTCTATAACATTAGCAACCGTGTCCCCTTGTTTCATCACCCTCTCATGGCTATTTAAGTGTGGTTCTCTAGTTTTCTGTTTAGATGGCAATATCTTCAGACATGTGGCTTGTGTTGACTGCACCTATGATGTTCAATGTCTATTGATAAACTATGACATTAAATTCACTTGGAGGATAAAATCTTCATTATGGAGAAGTTTTAGTCTGCATATGCTACACAAGACCAATATATGTATCTCATAGCAATTTCTCTATTGCATGTTTATTTTCTGCAGTTGGCAACTCCAGTTTATTGAATCAGAATTCAGAGGGCAGCTGCCTAAACCGTATGCAAAGGGACCACGAGCAACAAGAATAGTACCCAAAGGCATGAACGATCAAAATCTGGAAGAGACATCGAGATACGTGAGTTCAGTGTTCATTTTTGCATTGGTTAATTTTTTTAGCAAAAGTTCCAAGTAAAGGTAGTTGAATTGTATGCAGTTAAAAACATGCAGCATTTCAAATAGTTGCTCCCCTGTGCTACATTTAATGGGACATCCTCTGTGACTACAGAGCTTGTGGCTGCTTAGTTCTGCACACCAGATCCTGTACAAGTGTATTCCACATGATAAAATGTTAACTGTTAAATGTTATCTGCTTCTAAACTGTTAACACAATGTAAGTGGGATAAAAAGAAAAACACTTTGAAAGAGATTTGCTTTTAAAAAAAACAAACAACCAAAGAGTCATACACACATCAGAGCAAACCAGAGTACTGTATAGTCACTCTCATTGGCACAACATATTGCCAGTGGTGGTGGGCGAGCAGATACAGCATGGATCACATTAAGTCCCAATGATTTTTACTTTACAATCTGTATATTAATGTTATTTAAATAATATTTCAGCGAAGAACTAAGTGTTCATCCCTGTGCATGCTTCTAGTTCCCAGACAACTGCAAGTGTCATAAAACAATTGGTAACCAATAAGCATGGTCAGCCGTCATGGTGATCACGTGCAGGTTGAAGATGTTTCTTTACAAATAAACCTCTTCAGCCTGCAGATGGCTTTGTGCCTTTCTCTGACTGTGATCTCCAGCTGATTGAAGGTGTTAATAAGATTCAGATTTATTTTAGTCATAGATTAATTAAAGGAGAACTATGAGGTGAGTGATTACTCATACTTACTCACACTCATAGTTCAAGCCGACCTGTGACAAAGAAGCTGTTACAGGTCAGCTCTATTGTTTGTGAAGTGAGCAGAAACATGCCGCCGATCTGCTCACTTCCCGATCGTCTCCCTGCAGTGAGCGGTGATGGTGAGTCACCGCTGCCCGCAGGGATTCCCCCTCCTCTCTCCGAGCCAGCTGTCACTCACGTAGCTGTGTCGATTACGACAGTATTGTCAGGATCCATCCCGGCTGCAGCGCTCTCAGTGTATCGCAGACAATAGCCTGCTATATACTGAGCTTTGGGTCACGGGAGGGGGTTAGTATATGCCCTCCCATGACCCTAAAGAGAACTATGGGGAAAAACACTTATCCCATAGTTCTCTTTTAAGTTAACAAGTCCATACAGAAGCTGCTAAACATTGGTCTAGGTATCTAGGTTTCAATGACCTGTGGTCAGGTAGGGGTTAAAGCAGATATTGCACTTTCATAAATTGCTCTAAATTTATTTATAGATTAATCTAAATCTAAAAAATCTAAACAGCTCTAGCAGTTTTTGTTTAAGCCAGAGCTGTCATTTTAAACTGTTTCTCCCTAAAGGAAATGTTATGAGACAAATATGAAGGCTGCCATTACTAATCTCTCCAAAAAATGCTTTTTGTCTGTATGTCATGTTGGCACTGTGACTGCAGTACTGATTTAAATTCTTGTTCCGGGTCATTGCCTCAGAATGCACTAAAACCAGGGAGACAGCTAAGCAGCTGGCACTTTCAGTGACGCCAACAATTGTAGCCTCCATATCTCTCTCATGACAGATTTCCAGTAAAATTTCAATAAAAAAATATGTGAAATTAAGCTGAAATCTGCCTTTAACTAAAGTCTCCCCATGCTTAGGCCAAGGTCTGTTTTGCTTTCCATCAATCCAAGGCTGGTTTGTTAGACTCAGTTGGGGGGATAATAATTCCTACCAAAATACGAATGCCTGACCGTGTAATTTTCAATCTACTGTTTACATTTTGGAAAACCAATCCTTAGAATCATCAGTTTGCCTGTGGACTTATATATTCAGCATGCATCACACTTTGTCTGCCCATTTCCTACTGTGTGCCTATCATGGACTCCTTGGTAAAATATTATTCATGTGTATGTGGCTTTTCACTAACCCCCTACCAGGCTGCATGCTTTAAATTTGTACAACATCATGCAGAGATTTGGCCTTATAAATAATGTCTAAATGTCCCGGGCATAATATAAAAAAATTACATACTTTGGTAAAATCTTCAGCTTCGTCTTCCAAAATATCTCCAGGTTAATTTGTTGTGAGGTTGGTAACTTTTTTTTAGCTTAAGTGCTGCTGCGTTGTTCACATGCTGAGCATGATTTCCTGATAATCTGTCAGTCTTCAATCAGAATAAGACCCAACATTCTACATGTCTATTTGCAGACCTGAGTCAGAAGCCATTTCTATTTCTGACTGCACGCAGCAAGTAGCAAACATTGACGTCATCCCACCGTGAGCACCGTCTGCACTGACACACTGGTTATTTTTATAAACGCGAAAAAGTAGCATTCATTTTAAAATATTTCCACATATACAGATTTATGCATATTTGGGGCTTAATGAGCTGTTGGTGACTTTCATATTATATTTTAAGTTTACTTATATAACGCCAGTTCTAATATATTGCAAACATTTGCTTTGTGCACCTGTGATTTCAATGTGTTGCACACTTGACTTGCACATAGAAAACTCGATAGTGCTTTGGTTTCATTTTCAGAAAGACCTCTGCACTTGCTCCGCCACCACTGACCTATAAGCAGAGCTTGAAAAATTTGATAGTGTCTCACCAGTCAGTCAAAAATTTCACCAGTCAGCATGACCGGACCTATAAGGGTGCCCAACTTTGAACCCCTGCTGACACAGCAGCTTTACCAGCACTGTGTGTAGGTTTCCAGCGCTCAGAGCAATGCGGATTGACTTTCTATGGTCTCGCATCTCACTTTTCGAAAACCACTTATTTTCTGACATGACCGGTGTCCAACAGGTGTGGTGTAGCTTTATACACCCATGGCAAAATAATGAGTTGGCAAGGCTGGCTGCTCAGAGTGTTGTAAGTCTCACAGATGCTGTAATGATGGGGTGTCTATGCATGTTACTGTTGCTGATCAGCAATAGGAGTGCATAAAGGATTCATAGTTTTTATATGATCGCAAAAGCAAAAAAGACTTTATAAGATTGTGAAAAAAGCAGCTATGTGCCCTGGCAAATACTAACAAATCTAATGTCCACCTAAGGAGGTTTAGTATCGTCAGGCTAAAAATAAGGTGTTCTTGTTGATAATTGCAAGTATTGAAATTTCACATTGCTTATTTAGCGGTCAGAAATTGGCATAGATACCAGTGGCTTGAATCATCCACCAACTTTTGGTCAGTCAAATGATAAGATCCTTGACCATAGTTCCCAGCTTGCCCATCATCTAGGTACCATGCAAAAGCACCACACTCTCCTTGTGTTTTTTGTGTTTGTTTTCCATTTTTTTAAATGCAGCAGAAAGACTGAGACTTTTGGGGTTAAGGTAGCTGAAGTTAAACTTAGGGGAGAGATAGGTAGGTTGATGAGGCTGCCACATTGGAAGGGTGGTTGCGATAGTGGACATATGTTCCAACAGTGCGGCTTCACAAGGGTCCTCCATGTGGTGTTGGGTAGCAAGCTCATTCAATCCCTGCCTAATCGACACTGAGACATGGCAGACTCCTGGCATAATTTCTTCTAAAAGTGAAAGGGGTGTTTGCCGTCTACACCAGTTGCATATTATGGACCATGAGATAAGTCAGGCTGTACACAGTGAATACATTATATTTGGCAATAGTTGAATGAGGAACCCAGTGACTTTTTGGTGACTATGTCTGCTACTTGGTGGGTGGTCCCAAAGCAGCTCACCAACATCACGATGCATGCAAAGTAATTATTTCCAATTAATTGCTTGGAGGTGCGTCACTAAGAAAATCTGTGTTATCTACCGGGAAGGTTCTGACTTTACTCCTGCTCTACACCCAAATGAAAGTTTAGTAAGATCCTGAATGTTCTCCAGCATATAACCCATCTTTTGGAAGTCCAACAGCTGTCCTCATTTATAAACTTGTACTAAATCAGTATTGTCTGGTATACCACACAGCAAGTGTAATTTAGACTTTAATCAACTGTCAATTCACATGGCAGGGTTGTCCCATTGGCTGCCAGGGGTCAGTTCAACACTTTACTTAAAGCACAACTCCAGTTAAACATGTTATTGACCCTTGTAGTGGGGCTACCCCCGCAGTGCAAGGGTTAACTGCTTGTTTGTGACTAGAGTCAAAAATAACAAAGTTATACTCAACCGAACCTCTGAGCTGACCATCTAAGACAGTGCTCCCTCCTGCCTGTCTCCTCCTCCACTGTAGTGATGGTATGTCCTTCGGTGTCCTCATGTCTTATACACTTTCTTGGATGTGATGACTCGAGGATCCTAAGACCACTGCAGCGGAGGGGGAGAGAAGCTCCAGGGACCAGTCTCTGAGGCCTTGTTCACACCAAGCGTGGAGCAGGTCCAGAGCAGGTGAAAAAACAGCAGCAGGCCCTATTTTACCTGCTCTGGATCAGCATTTTTCTTTTTTTTTTTTACCAAAAACGGCCCGGAACGCATCAAAAACGTGGCACAACCCACTGCACTGCGTGTGCAGAAACCTGAGCGGATCTGCTCGGCATTTGGTGTGAACAAGGCCTAAGAGCTGGCCAACTCGGAGGATCGGGTGAGTATAACCTTTTTCTTTTATTTTACCCTAGGCAAAAATCGAGCAGTTAACCCCTACCAGTGCAGGGGTAGCCCCACTGTAAGGATAATACACAATTTTACCTGGAACTCTGCTTTAATTGTTGATGAATCAAGCTAACTATCTGATTTGCAAGCCTAATGATCAGTGGGGGTTTAGGATTGTCAGCGGCTATGTGTATCTAGCATTGTTATGTATATCTTGTGTGTTTACTTTATACAGCTACAACAAATGGCAATCTTTGTCTCTTCAACAAATTGTAAACCTTTACCCAGAATCTTCCTTTATTCCTAGTCATATAACTCCTCTTTGCCTGTTTTATATAAGCTGCATGCTGCAGTATTTAAAGGGGGACTCTAAACATTTTTTTTTAGTTTGAGATAGTGTGGAAAGGTTGAAATCTCTCAGGTTTTCATTGTTCCAGAAACATGACATTAAGTGAGT